CTGCGGGTGCTGGCGCTGGAGGTTCTGGAGCTGCTGCGGGGGCTGGCGCTGGAGGTTCTGGAGCTGCTGCGGGTGCTGGCGCTGAGGGTTCTAAGTCTGCTGTTGCGCGGTCTCCCTGGAGTAGCCGCCTTCGTCCGCGTGTGCCTCTCACCTCACAGCAGCTGCACGACTGGTACGGTCGCCGTCAGGGTCGCGCTTCTGGAGCTCGAGGCTCTGCCGCTGGAGGTGCTTCTGCTGTCGTCACTGGAGCTGGGAGTGGTGCTGGTCCCGGAGGTGCTCGTACTGGAGGTACTGGAGCTGCTGGGGCTGGAGGTGCTGCTGAGCCTGAGGGTGCTGCTGTTGGAGACCCAGGGTCTGGGGGTGCTGCTGCTGGAGACACTGAGGCTGGAGACCCTGAGACTGGAGGTGCTGGTTCTGGGGGTGCTGCTGCTGGTGGAGCTGGTCCTGGAGGAGCTGGCGCTGAGGGTTCTGGAGCTACTGGAGGTGGTGGAGCTGCTAGGGGTGCTGGAGCTGCTGGTGCTGGTGGCACTGCACAACCGCGCCTGTTCTTCGCTCCACCGTCTCCGTCGTCTCAGCCACCGCCTGACTCTGTGCTTCGCCAGGTTCTTAGTCTCCCTTCATCTACTGGTCTTCCGTTACAGCCTGGCTCACCGCTGCCTTCTCCTTCTCCTTACACTGAGCAGACAGGGGGTTTTACTGAGCGTCGTGAGCCCGCATTGCGTCCTGTCTCGCCTGTCTGTTCTAGTAGTTCCGGTCGTCGTGTTCCTCGTTCCCGTTAGCCGACTGTCCCCGTCACCCACCTCGTAGTTCGTTGTCTTTCCTCTCCTCCGCAGCGTGTCCCCCTATCGTCCCCTCCTGCGTCTTCTCTGCCTACCGTTCCTGAGCCTGAGTCTGACCGCACCCGTGCTGCTCACCCTACTGTCACGCGTCTGCTAGCCACAGTTGTCATTGACCCGTCGTTTGAGTCTGCTGCTGCGTCTGCCTTTGTTGCTGAGCTTGTTGACTTTGCTGCTGCCTGTCGTCTAGACTACGCCGCTAGTCTTGTTGCTAAGTCTGAGTCTATCTGTCCTCCGTCCGTCGGGGGTGAGTGTGCTCTTGGCACGGACGTCCTTGAGGACAGGCAGGAGGACCTTGAGTGTCTTGCAGCCGCTGTGCCTCACCTCGTGTCCATGCTGCTTGCCCCTGAGGGAGACCCGGATGCTCCAGACATCCCGACCCCGCGCTCTTACGCTGAGGCGATCGCGGGTGAGTACTCCTCTCAGTGGCAGACAGCCATGGACGCAGAGATGGCATCCTGGAAGTCCACAGGCACTTACGTTGACGAGGTTCCCCCTCCTGGGGCGAACATCGTCAGTGACATGTGGATTTTCAGGGTGAAGCGGCCGCCAGGTTCTCCGCTTGTCTTCAAGGCTCGTTACGTTGCTCGAGGTTTCAGTCAGCGAGAGGGAGTTGACTTCTTTCAGACCTTCTTCCCCCCCCCCGAAGATGACCACTCTTCGGGTGCTGCTGCACGTTGCCGCTCAGCGTGACTACGAGCTTCACTCTCTTGACTTCAGCACAGCTTTCTTACAGGGCAGCCTGCACGAGGAGATCTGGCTGCGCCGCCCTCTTGGCTTCACTGGGTCGTTCCCTCCTGGTACCCCGTGGAGCCTCCAGCGGCCAGTCTACGGTCTCCGCCAGGCACCACGTGAGTGGCACGACACACTGAGGACTACACTTGCGGCTCTTGGGTTTGCTCCGTCGACTGCTGACCCGTCGCTGTTTCTGCGCACCGACACGTCGCTGCCACCGTTCTACATCCTCGTGTACGTCGACGACTTAGTCTTTGCCACTGCTGACACTGAGGCTCTCGCCCTGGTGAAGTCGGAGGTGCAGAAGAGACACACGTGCACAGACCTAGGTGAACTGCGCAGATACCTTGGCTTGCAGATCACCCGGGACAGAGCACGCCGCACCATCACACTGACTCAGTCACACATGGTGCAGCAGGTCCTTCAGCGCTTCGGCTTCACCTGGTCTTCGCCACAGCACACTCCTCTAGCTATAGGCCACTCGCTCTCAGCTCCACCTTCGGACGAGTCCGTAGAGCCGAGTGGCCCTCATGTACCTCATCACCTGCACTCGACCTGACCTTGCGTACCCTCTTGGCCTTCTGGCTCGCTACGTGGCTCCTGGTAGGCACAGACTAGAGCACATGGCTGCTGCTAAGAGGGTACTGCGCTACTTGTGCAGTACATCGGGCATGGGGCTCGTGCTTGGAGGGCGGAGCCCAGTTGTCCTCACTGGGCACTCGGACGCTTCTTGGGTTGACGACCTGGATACGCAGCGGTCGTCACAGGGTTACACCTTCATCCTTGGCTTTGGTTCAGTTTCTTGGCGTTCTACACGCTCGTCTTCTGTTCTCAGCTCCAGTTTGAGGCTGAGATCTACGCCACAGCCATGGCTGCACAGGAGTTACGCTGGCTCACCTACCTGCTGACCGACTTGGGAGAGCGGCCTCGTTCTCCTCCAGTGCTGTACGTTGACAACAAGGCCGCCATTGCCTTGTGTCAGGAGCATAGACTGGAGCACAGAACGAAGCACATCGCTCTGCGTTACTTCCTTGCTCGAGAGTTGCAGCAGCGTGGTCACCTTCGTCTTGCTCACGTGGCCACTCGGGCCAACACTGCTGATATATTCACCAAGGCACTTCCGTCTGGTGATCATCAGCGTTTCTGCACTTTGTTAGGCCTTGTGCCCACATTTCCTCACTTGCTGTAGACTTTGCTTGTACTGTGATCTATATATACCTGCATGCATGGTCTGCTAGGTAGAGATCACTGTGCTGTTATTGTTGCGTATATACCTCTGCATGTGAACTGGCCTTGTGGCCCTCTGCTTGTGCTCAGTGTGTGTGGTGACATTGTGATCCACCCTGAGCTTGCTTTGCTTCTCTTGACTGGTCGTGTGACCCCTTGTTCTCCCCCACTTTGCCTATGGGGGTGTGTCAAACGTTATATCTACTATACATGTTTAGGCTGTAGTGGGGTAGCCAATAAGGGGTACAGCCCACTTTAGGGTTTCATATTTGTACCCAACTCTTCCATAGTTCAATCATTCCTGCTGCTAAATTCTAACACGCGCTTCGATACTTCTTCGTCAAGGACGGAATGGACCAGGGCAAAGGTTGACCTGACGTACTGCCCACCACTGAGATGGCAGCAGACTTTCTCACCAAGCGGTTGCCGCGTCAGCAGTACCAGCACTGCTCCAACCTCACCAGAGCGGTTAAGCCAGTCAGCTCCCGATACCCCCAGGAATGAAGGGGGGTGTTGAGATATGAAGTTAAATGAGAAGGCATTCCTATACGCTGCAGGAACCGACTCTACTGAGTATGAAGTCGAAGAGCGAGAAGAGTCGAAGCAACATCAGCAAACATTTGAAGTGCAATTGATGGGAACAAGTTTAAAACGAATTCCTGCGCCACACTTCTTTGAATACCGCTGCAATATGATAATGCACCCCTTAGAGTACATGGCTACCTAGGTCATTTCACATTCCTTTGTATCATCTATATGAACCTATGTGTGCACCCATTAGAATAATCTCAGCCATTTTACATTTACCCTGACCTGAGGTTAACACTTCCGCTGCAATATCACCTTTAATCAACCCTGAGCCGATCCTTAACTACCGTATGTCCCGTTTAAGTTTCTAACCTTCCACTTGTTCTGGCTAATGAAGATTCTTACTGCTCCCCATGAGTACCGTGCTTCGACGTTCTCGAACATACCCTGTCTACATTACGACTTGGCTTAGAAGCAGCATCTGAGGCATCTGCAGTCAGTGAGTCGCAACAGTCATACCGGCGGTATCGTTAAACAGGACAAGGGAATAAGTGAATGTATCCCTCGGAACACATGGCTAGCTAGGTTTATATTAACCAAACGTATGCAATGCTTTAATATTCTTTATATTCACGTTCACTATGATAAGGTCATTCAAAGACTTCCGCTGTCTTACCCAAAGGCCCTTATCATGTCCAAACGTTCCCCGGGTTATCACAACATAGGGTACTCAAAAGGTCAGTGGTATCTCTAATTCATCGTGGAGCTTCATTTTACCTAGCAGCAGTTGAAATCCGGTTTCCTAAATTCACATGTTTGAGCACTTCCGTCTTCACCTAGTTTCTATCGCGCTATGACGAGCACTTCCCGTAAGGCGTACGTGCTCCCCAAGACACACCTGCCTGGGCCGGTCAAAACCTGCTTTCCCGCATCCAGCGCAGCCAGTATTCCCTCATCCCACCCGCGCACTTCCCTCTTCCCTCCATAAGTTTTCCACGGGGAGTTAGCTGTGTCGGGTATTATCTGTGATATATCAGCAATCGTCAAGGCCAGTGATTACTAGTCAGTAGTACTGACTAAGGCTCCTTATCTGTCGGTGGCTTCCGTACCGCATTTCAAATTCACGACACGGAATGTATCGAAATTGATCGCTGGCAAGGCGATTCGGCGCCGAATCACGTTCGTCCATATTCAATCTTCTATAAAAAGCAGAGGCGTGATGGATTCTCTCGTAAATCACTCGAACTGGCTAGTGACAGCTTTTACTGCTCCCCCTGAGTACCGTGCTTCGGCGCTCTCGAATATACTCTGTCGACATTTCGACTTCGGCTAGAATCAGCATCTGAGACGCTACGATCCCATATTCCGCTCTCCAATCGGTTGCTTGCTGCCCTCCGCTCTCACCTTGGAGCTTTCGCGTTCATCGACTTCACGCCACGCTGCGTCATGGCTTCCACGCGGCGCTTCCTGCTTCTCGCGCTGCTTGCGCTCGTCGCCACGGCCAGTGAGTCGCGTTCTCTCGTTACTTCCCAGGGTCCCTTTCGTCTCGTCATGCTTGTCAATCGTCTCGAGGTCCGTTCCGTCAACTCTGCGAATCCTCGCAGCATCTTTGTCGAATTGACTGCTCGATTCTTGGCTCGAGTCAACGATTTGATTCGCTCCCCACCCGGGCTCATGCCCGTCTTGTTCCTTCATCCTCCCTCGCCGCCTCCCTTCCCTTCAGTCCTCTCGGAAGCCGCCGGCAAGACCCGGTCGCAGGCGACAACAGGCGAGGCGAGGGGCAAGGGTGCTAGGGCCAAGGCAGGGGAGGCGAGGGACAAGGCTGTTCCAACCAACAAGCGGGCGGGCAGCTCCGGTGCGAGCGGATCAACTCCGTCTGGAAAGAAACCTGCCCGCTCGCAGCAGGCGGCAGTGCAGGCGGCTGGCAGCAAGCGGCAGGGGCAGCAGCAGACGATGGGCGTGAAGCAGCACAAGTCGTTTGATGGTCACATGGCGGCGAACGGAACTCGTGTGGCGGGAGGGAAGGGGCACGTGAATGGCACGAGGCACGTGAATGGCACGAGGCTGAAGCGGGGTGCTGCAGCTGGTGGTGGTGGTGGTGCTGTTGGGATGCGCAAGGAGGGTGGCGGTGCTGGTGGTGGGCGTGGCGGGCGAGGAGGCAGCGTGATTGGTGAGTGGAATCGCATCATTGCACCACTGCTGCTGACGTCTTATTGGTCACTTGTGGCTGACGAAGCGGGCGCGTTTCCAATGACTCTGTTATGTTCATTCATTGCTGCAGTGTGTCGCAAGGCGGTGGACTTGACGCCTTGCTTGCTTGCTTGCCCATGGCAGGTGTGGTGGGCGCGCGGATGAGTGGCGAGCAGATGGTGGGGTCAGCAGGCATGGCCAATGCCACGGGCCGCCTGGAGCTGAAGCTTGTCAAGTCAGTGCCGCTCCACGCTCCTTCTCTCCTCTTTCTCTTTTGCACCGCCATGGCTCTGCTTCTCCTTTCACTTGCTTATGAGCCCTCCTCTCTCTGCTCTTGCAACGCCTTCCTCTGCTGTCCACACTCCATCTCAACCCTCCTGGTTTGGCCCTTCCTCCTCTCCTCACACTAACTCCTTCTCCGCTTTACCCTCCCCTTCCTCCTGTGTTGACCCTCCTGTGTTGACCCTCTCTCTTCTCTCCTCACCCCCCTTCCCCTCCCCTTTCTCCCCAGGACGGCCACTGACATGGACGTGCACTACTCGCTCTCCCTCGCGCACCTCTCCTCGCCCTCCCCTCCCACCGCCGCCTCCATCCACGCAGGCCGCGCCGCCTCCGCCTCTGCCCTGCTGCTGCTCGCCTTCCCCGCCTCCGCCTGGACCAACACCACCCGCCCCTTCCATCGCGCCTCCAACGCCACCGCTGCTGCCCCCCCTGCGGCTGCGCGCTTCAGCTACGGCGCCAGGGGCGTGTGGGGCAACGCGTCGTCCCTCTCCGCCGCTGCGGGCGGCTCTGTGGCTGCGGCTGTGAGCACCATTCTCGCTGCCCCCGCCTCCTTCCACGCTCTCATCGCCATTTCACTTGGTGTAGGCCCTAGTGAAGGGTAGTTTCGAGACCCTTCGTGGTTGGGGACAGTGTGGCACTGTTCCACATCACTGTACCTCGGCTCTTGGGGTTTGTAGGAGCTGGGAGTCATTCCCAACTCGTAACTCTTCCTAACTCTTCCTATCTTGTGCTCTAAGACTATAGTGGCTGCCATAGTGCCGTTCGTTCAAACTGACGCTGTGTCGTCAATACTTGGTGAAATCGTGCGATCTAAATTGCCTATTGTAGGCGACAATAAGACGCTCCAGATCCAAGTTGAATCAAGTCATTTAAAGCTGTGACCAGAACGCTATGAACGTTCGAAGCCGCTGTGCAGAAATCCGACTGTGCACTCTATCTTTCGTTTTAGGCACATTGGAGCCTACTGTGACTATAACAAGTTGCTCCGAGGTGGAGAGGTGTTTGACCTTCCTGTAGTAGGAGTGAGTATGACACACCACTGGGAAAATCCCACTTTAACAAAAGAAACAAAAGTCCCGTGCATCTATGTCAAGAGAATGGCCCAGCAAACGCTTTACTGCTTCTGTTCCACCTCCCTAGACGACATGATGAAGAGCAGTCCATTGGCCCTGATACAAATGACGAAAATGTTGCAAGGATTTGCATGGGGGAAAACAGTAAACAAATTACTTGCTACAAATCCAAATGTCACGTGTTTCAGCGTTCGCGCCTTTGCTAAGAAGGACGTTGACAATACGCTCATGGCCGAGCCTTGCAGCCACGCGGAGAGCCGTTTGACCTTTCTGTAACTTGAAAGAACTTGACGTCATATTTCAATTCTGTGTGTCTCATCGGATGAACATCCGGCGCTCCTGTTTTGCTCATGGGAGCGACGGATCCGTCGCCCCCCCAGCAACGGGTCGACGGAACTGAAACCCCGCCAGCTGGGCCTTGTCAAGACCCTCGCGTGCGCCAGTTACCCGTCCCACCTGAACTCCGCACTCCTCGTGCATGTTCCATATCGACGACACGGAAACAACCTGCCTCCGCGAAAGCAAATTTCTAGGAGAACCAGCTCGCGAAAACATGTGCGAAAGCGAATTTCCAGGTCACAAAAACAATCCCTGCCAAAATCAGTTTGTGCGAACGTTGCGACGAGTGCGCAACCCACCTGGACGAAACAAATCGTCCTGCGAGGGGTGTGCGACGCGTGTCATTGGCTTCGTCAACGTCGTCAATCGTTAGGCGCGAGCAAGGCGTGAGCAGAACGTAGAATCATGCACGAGGTGATCACCACGACCTCTGCCTTGCTGCCACGTGCACCCCGAATCGAGATGCCCCGGTTTGGCTGTTCCTTCCCCACACGAAATGGTTCCCCGTCAGCAAGCTACACTGACGTTGCGCGGACCCAACACCCCTTATCATTCAAAGTGTTCACGCATGTATAAATATATAAGAAAATAACCAGGTGTGTAAGGTATTTCACTGTGCGATTGTACGGTTTGTGTATGGGCAAGGTATAAAATGTGTGTGTTCCCAAAAACAACATGCGCATGGGCATGGGAAAACGGCGTCAGGCATGATAATACACCTACATATGGGGAGGTGCGGAACTGGTATTTCGCAACCGAGCAGATTCATGGGCAACCCAACCCGTGCACAAAAAAATATGCAACTGCTGCAAAAGATCTGTCCAGATCCTAAACCCTTAACTAACTGTGTTGGCATAAAACAGGAGGTGCATGGGCAAAAATTACCCGTGCACAACGCAGAACATAAACGCCACAAGACACTTTTCCAACCCAAGCACACTATGCTGATAAGATTTTTTCCTGACCCAACGTACGCTAATTGTGCACACCTAACTCTCCACAGGAACAAGTTGTGCACATGAAGATTGCCAAACCTGGCAAACATGAGAATGCACGTGAAAGAACTTCGTGTATAGTATTTTGTAGGCGAGCTGCACAATTGTGCATCTGACGAAGTATGCACACGGTTGTATCTTGTCGTCTTTGTGTGAACTCAAAAATAGCTGCGTCGGTGTGAGAGAAATTTTGTTGTGGGCAAGTCCATTTCTCTTCACGCAACCGATTACGCGTGAATTTGCGGGCTACTGCGCACAAAAACGTTCTGCGTACAGTCCCTGACAAGCTGGTTCTGCGCACGAACACGAAAACTTCCCATTCTGCACAGTGTCTTTGCCAATCTTCTTTTGTCTTCTGTCCCTGATCAAGAAAAAAAAACAGCTTTTGCATGAGATACAACATTGTTTGCATAGGTGTAGTGTCAGAAAGTGGAAACGAGAATGACTAGAACAAGGGCACTACAGAGTTTGTATGGCAAAACCTAATTGGGCTGTACCCCATAAGGAGTACCCCACTACAGCCTAGAGCATAGTTCTGACACACCCCCATAGGCAAAGTGGGGGACAAGCAAGAGAACGAAACAAGGTCAAGCTCAGGGTGGATCACAACGTCACCACACAATCCGAGCACAAGCAAATGGCCACAAGGCCAGTTCACATGCAGAGTTATATATAGAGGAACACAAGCAGTACAGTGATCACAACCTAGCAAGTGTAAGCATGGAGGTATAAGTATATAGATCACAGTACAAACAAAGTCAAGAGGTGAGCAAGCGAGGCAAAGTAGGCACAAGGCCTAGCACAGTACAGAAGTGCTGATGATCACAAGGCTGAAGTGCCTTGGTAAAGATATCAGACGTGTTGGCCCGAGAGGCCACGTAAGCAAGACGAAGCTGACCACGCTGCTGCAACTCTCTAGCAAGGAAGTAGCACAGAGCGATGTGCTTCATTCTGTGCTCCAGTCTGTGCTCCTGACACAAGGCAATCATGGCCTTGTTGTCGACGTACAGAACTGGAGGAGAACGAGGCGGCTCTCCCGAGTCAGTCAGCAGGTAGGTGAGCCAGCGTAACTCCTGTGCAGCCATGGCCCCTGCGGATATCTCAGCCTCACAACTAGAGATGAGAACAGAAGACGAGCGGGTAGACCGCCACGAAACAGAACCGGAGCCAAGGCTGAAGGTGTAACCCTGTGACGACCGCTGCGTAGCCAAGTCGTCAACCCAGGAAGCGTCTGCATGACCAATGAGGACAACTCGAGCCCGTCCTCCAAGCACGAGCCCCATGCCCAACGTACTGCACAAGTAGCGCATCACCCTCTTAGCGGCCTTCCAGTGCTCTGGTCGGTGTCTCCCGGGCGCAACGTAGCGTGCCACGATGCTAAGAGGGTAAGCAAGGTCAGGTCGAGTGCAGGTCATCAGGTACATGAGGCAGTGCACAAGCTCTGGATATGGGCCATTCGGCTCTACAAACTCATCCGATGGCGGAGCTGAGAGCGACTGACCGGTAGGCAGAGGAGTGGACAAAATGGCAGTGCAGCTCACCGAGGTCTGTGCACGTGTGTCTCTTCTGCAGCTCCGACTTCACGTGGGCCAGTCCAGCAGTGTCAACAGTGGCAAAGACCAAGTCGTTGATGTACACGAGGATGTAGAGCGGCGGCAGCGAAGTGTCAGTGCATAGAAACAGCGACGGGTCAGCAAAGTCGACAAGCTCAGCAACTAAGGCAGACGCAGCAGTGGACTCAAAGGAAGGGTCAGTGACAACAGTGGCCCAAGATGCGTGACAGTAGGACAAGCAGCACGAAGGGAGTCAGACTCCGGGTCCGTACCCTCAATAAGGGAGAACGCAGGGGGAGACGGCAAAGGGACACGCAGTGGAACAGAGGAAGGACCAAGTGCCATCTGGTGCGTGCCAGGGACAGGAGGAGGACGCGGACGCGGAATACGACGACCAGTTCAAGCAGCGCGAACAGGCGACGAAGGACGAGACTCAGGCTCACAACGCTACGCAAGACCTCCGGTCGGCCCAGTGTAAGGAGAAGGACCAGGCAGTGGGGAGGCTGGCTGTAGCTGCGACTGCGACTGGACAGGTGGTGGATACTCTAAGGGAGGAGTAGGACCAGTAGAAGGCGGGAGACCAAGAACCTGCTGAAGGAGTGGAATGAAGTACGGCCGCGGCCATGCAGCACCACCAAAACTAGCACCAGCAGCACCACCAGCAGGAACAGCTCCAGCGCCTCCAACTCCAACTCCTGCAGCACCACTAGCTCCAGCACCAGCAGCACCTCCAGCAGGAACAGCTCCAGCGCCTCCACCTCCAACTCCTGCAGCACCACTAGCTCCAGTACCAGCAGCACCTCCAGCAGGAACAGCTCCAGCGACTCCAGCTCCAACTCCTGTAGCACCACCAGCCCCAGCAGCTCTAGTACCTCCAGGACGAGCACCTCCGGGACCGGCGGCTACAGTACCTCCACCAGCTCCAGCAGCAGAAGGACCTCCAGCTTCAGCAGCACGGCTCCAGCGCCGAGCAAATCACTCGCGCAGCTGCGGTGGAGAGAGTGGCTCCCGCCGGGACAAGACACCCGTAGGACCTACAGAGGACAAAGTACCTCCAGGCTTAGCACGCTCAGGCCCAGCACCCCCAGGCTCCACACTCTCAAGCTCAGCACCCCCAAGCTCCGCACCCTCAGACTCAGCACCCCCAGGCCCCGCACCCGTAGGCTCAGCACCCCATGACCCCGCACCAGTAGGCTGAGCACCCCTAGCAGTACCAGAGTCGACAGCCACCTTGACAGGCTCGACAGGGTCTACCTGGGACACACCTGAGGGGGCAGGACCCTGAGGGGGGAGGGGGTCTACCGGAGGAGGACCTGGTGCTAGGAAGAGCGGCGGGGGGGGGGGGGGGAGAGGGGCAGTGCGGTTGGGGAAGAGACGGTAAAAGGGAACTGACTCGTCAAACGTGACGTCCTGAGAGGACAGAACACGGCGCGAGGTGGGGTGGTAAAACTGCCAGCTAGGCGCGTTAGGGGGGAAGCCAAGGAAGACGCAGGGAACAGCACAGGAGGACAGCTTGTCCGCGGAAGAATCGCGGACAAAAGCTCGAGATCCCCAGGCACGGAACACAGACGCATCGCCAACCTTCCCCGTCCACCGCAGAGCAGGTGTGGTCTCCGGAACCGAGACACGGGGCTGGAGGTTG